ACACACACACACACAGAGTCTACCTTGTCACCTAAGATGCATCTCCCTTGTCACTTTCTCAGGCAAACCTTCCTTGATACATTCCTGCAGGGACCATGTAACAATGGGTTTCCTGAAGCTGGTGTGGCCTTCGTGTTGGTCTGGTTTACCACAGCCATCTATCCTGGAGTGGGATCACCGCAGGGAGAACATTTTTTAACCCCAGCATTCAGGGTGTCTCCTGAGTTAGTACACACTTAACCTACTGCAAACCTTTCGGTTGACAAAAAGACATTGCTGTCAACCTGCTCTCCACCAGAGAGCCCCATGGAGGAAACTGACATTACCTCCTCCCAGTCACTCAAGCCAGACACTCACTCCCCTGGCTACCATCCAGCTAGATCTGCTCCCAAATCTTCCTTCTCTACCTCCTTCTTCCTAGTCCTAAGATAGTCCAGGGGAAGTGATAAACACTGTTAGCTTAAAAACCCTCTCTCCTTTCCTCCACCCATCACCTCACTGAGATATAATGTCCTGGACATAACACTCCACAGCCTAAACCCTCCGTAGATGATATAGCATCTAGTGTTTAGTGCCCCAACCCACAGGGATATTGTCACTCCTTCCACTGTTAGGGCATCTGGACAGGAGGTAAGACGTCCCCAGAAGTGACCTTTAGTTACAAACAACCCTGTGCCTTCACCCCAGTCCCCGGATAAGCATGACTTCTGGGTGCAGCATAGTACAAAAAGGGTTGGGAAGAAGAAGACCCACAATCCTTAGCTGCAAAAGCCCTTCAGGGCCTCTTTTCCAACATCCTTACTGGCTGGGTCTTCTGTTCACCTATTCATCCACCACTGTATACTCTTCTTTCCTGAGGGGTGCTGTCTGTAGAACAGCTCCAGGAGTGGTGCCAATTCTACTTCGCGGCTTGGTGTTCACTTCTTGGAACTCTTGCTCCCCACCTTTCCCAGCTCATTTCTAAATATAAATTCTTCATCTTTTGCCCCCACATTCAACTTTACAAAGCTAGCTTGCTCAAAATTAATCAGCAGGATCTGATTCTTTTGTCATCCAATTGTTTCATTAAATACAACATAGCGATAGGACTCTAAAGCCAGAAAGGTCTCTGTAAGGAATAAATGACTGGATTCCTAAATTCAGGGTCAGCATAGCCCCTGGCATTGACTGACTTCCTTGTTTGTTCTTTCTGGATGAACACCGTCAAGTATGTCAGAATGTAAACTTCTGGGTCCTCAAAATGGTCTGTACCTCAGGATTTTGAACCGAAGTCTATTTCTGCTTGTTCCCAAGAGTTCTGTTTGGAGGAGATTGCTAATCGCACTCTCCTGATATCTACGCCCCATGTTAGCATTCTCTCACACCAAACGCTTCCCAATGCATATCTGATCCTTGTCGGTTCCAGATGCACTTGTGTGGCATTGAGTGGTACCACAAGATCGGACTTGATGCATCCTACACAGAGATGGTACATCCATGAGACCTGGTATCACCAGGTGTTTTTTTTAATTCAAGAAAAATCTACAGCAAATGACAGTGGCTACTTGAGAGACTGGGATTGGTCAGTTGGAGACTTGACAACAGCCCAGGCTTAAAAGTTCACCAGATGCCTTTTCAATCCCAAGCTGGGCACCATGACACGTACCTGCCTGTCATCCCAAACTGGGAGGGGGGAGAGGTGAGGGGAGCTGAGAATGGGAGAATTTTGGTCCCAGGCCAGCCCAAGCAGAACAATCTATGAGAGTTCATTGCCATTGACGAAAACTGGATGTAGTGGTACAGGGTGAAACACGCTGAAAAACAAAGCTGTGACACTGAACTCACACCAAGTGCAGTTTTCCCAAGCTTCCCAGATTCCAGGAACAATGGGACGGCTATAACTAGACTAATCTTGGCTCTGCTGTATGCCCCAGGAGGAAGCTAGTTCTTATCCTTAAAATATCCAGTGAAAAATAGGGCTGGAGCTGTGGGTCACTGGTATTACTCCAGTCGAGAAAGTACGAGTACCTAAGTTCAAATCTCAAGACTACCAAGGATGAATAAATAAAAAGGAAGAGAATATAAAAATTTTATTGATCCCTGCGCCATGTTAGATTTCTTAATTAGGCTAATGAATCCTGAGTATTTGTGCATGTTGAATATTTGAGTAAGAATGCTAAGGGAAATTCTTGTACCAACCAGAACCATAATTGTGCTGTTTGCCATTAAAGACATTGTGTCAAGTTGAACATCCATGGCTAATAGCATCATCAGAGGAGGGTATCTATCCACATAGCCAGAACAGCATTAACGCATGTTTCAGATCTATGTATGCCCTAGAACCAGTGCTCGCTGCTTTCCTGGAGTAAATGTTTTAAAGAGAAGAAATAGGGCACCATCATTTCTCATCATGTAACTGTGTATGTCTCATGTGAATATAGCAGGTCCAGTCATTAAATATTTCATCACTCTCTTTAATGATTGCTCATGAGATAAAGTCATAGCACAGCTAGTCCATGGCCCAAACCAGAATGTGAGGACAACCATCAACTGACAATTTCTCTGTCCCCGTCAGTCACCTGCCTGTTGGGGATAGTAGGCCTGAATAAATCTCTGCCTTTTCTAATTTCCCTTTCTTCTTGGGTTAGGGATTTTCTTTAAATGTACAGAGGCAAAGCCAAGCTCTGGATTAGACGTGTCACACAAACTTATATTTAAGCCACTTAAGAAAGATGGACTTGTTCCAGACAGAACAGCCTTCCTTGTTCACCCACCAGTGCTGGCCTTGAGCACAGTGAGGAGAAAAAGTGTGCTTAGCTGTACTGGTTGGAGTTACTCAGTTCCTGGATGAATCATGAGCTGTAAATAACCACCCACGAGTTTCCTTCAGCATCATTTTCCTTCCGCAGCTGTCTTGTGGAAGAAGAAAAAAAACAGAGTGACCTGGAGAGAGATTTAAAGCCAAACTAAAGGGATCTGTTCATTCTGCAGAAGACAGAAACCAACTAGGAGAGGTCAACTGCTTTGCCCTATCCTTCCTTTCAGAGCAAAGTGAAAAACAGATGAATTTGTAAGCGTGGCGGTCTTTGCAAGCCCCAGGACCTCAATTACAGCCCAGGAAGCTCAGTACTGGCAGGGAAGGTTGGATGGAGGTGACTAGGCCTCCTGGTTCTCTTCTCTGATCACTGTATTGCACAGCCCCATTGTGTCACAGCAAAGCAGAATGTTGTTCCAAGACTTAAATGTATTTAAGTCTTAACTTTGGGGCTCAGGCAACACAGTGATAGAACCAGATGCACCCCCATTCCAATCATCACGATCACACTGCATACTTAAAAAATAGGGACATCCCCATTTAGGAAAAAAAAAACCCAAATTCTGGCCAGTGGCTCACGCCTGTAATCTTAGCTATTTGGGAGGCTGGGCTCTGAGGATCGCAGTTTGAAGCCAGCCACTCAGGAAAGTCTATGAGACTCTTATCTGCAATTAACCAAGTGGTAGGGCACCAACCTTGAGCGCTAGCCTCACTGATAGGGCTCTGATTTCAAGCTTTAAGACCAGTATTAAAAAACAACAGCAACAACAAATTCCTGCTCTCACTGTCAGGAATATATGCCAAAGGGACATAAATGCTTTTGCTGAGGAAGGAAATGTACTTGATGGCTAAAATGATGAGAGTTTTCCCCATTATCTTTTAATAATGTTCTTGAAAAACAAATATATAAACAGATCAAAATAAACCTTAAAAATGACTTACTTGAAGTTGATACAGCTAATTTATAAAGCACAACTCAGGGCACCTTGAAGGAACAAATACATCAGTTTCTATCATGAGTCTTTTATTTACTACAATGCAGAACATTTTACTTTTAGGCCTCAGTGAGCTTTGTGTTGGCTGATATTTTCACTTGTTCAACACAAAACAAAAAGTCAGGAAAATCACACGGGGCTGGTAGTGATCTATCAGTAAATTAGAGCAAATTTATAAACCGTTTGTTTTTGAAGTGATAGTAAATCAAATGGTCAGTAAATCCTCTCTTCATGTCTCATAATGATGACATAGTCATATCCCCCAAATTGCACTGGACAAGAATTCTATAGAAACAGACAAAACTTTCCATTGAATACAGAGGAGAGTCACAAAATAGAGATGGCTTTTGAATTCTCATTAGATTTTCCTACTGTAAATGGTTCTGAGATTCAGAGAAATGACTATTTCTTCATATGATGGTCAACAGCTTCCTCAAGTATCCTCTCATACCCAATATAATTTACATGTCATCCAGACACCTCTTCCTTCATCCCAATGCCTGACATCCAACCATCACAGCCATCACTCACAGGTATATAATTAGGAGCCTGGAGGAAAATGTAAGACCAGCAGGAAACCACTTGACTCTTTGGTTACACTCTAGTGACGATATGTATTGCTTGGCAACTAGCCAGTATGGGAAACCATATCAGCTTAGGGCTCAATAAAGTCTAATAGCGTCTTCCCTGCTTTGCAGGCACCATTAGGGACTCTCACCCGTGCCCTGTCATCTCTCGAGGGCCAACATGCCTTTCTTTGGAAGCACGAAATGCCTCCAAAGAAACACACGCCCTACTCAATTATAAGTCCTGACTCAAATGAAAGCAGGCAGGCAATTAAGACTTCTTAGAAAACTTCCCTACCAAATGACAAATGTATGTGAGGCAAAAGCCATCCACTGAGTCTGCATGCCGCCTGATTAAATTAAAAGCACCTGGTGCATTTATACAATGTGTACATCCGATGGTCTACAGATTAGGACCCGAGAAACAATACATGTCGTATAGCAAAAAATATACATATAACAATCCACCTGTCGTTTGTATAAATGATGAAATGTTTTTGAATATATCTATATATCTATATATGTACACATATATACTCTATGAGTGTATGGGAGGCATCAGGCACACGCACACTGTAGTCTCTCATTGGCTCTTCCACTTCAATGTCAAGGACCTCCCTACCCCCCCACCCCCCAGTTGCAAAGTCTCCAGGCCTGGGTCAGAGGTCACCGCTGAGGACAAAGGACTGGCTTGATGCACCTTCCCTTGTGAAGAACCAGGTTGGCTGGGCAGTGGCAGCCTGCGATGCACGGCTTGCTGCAGGGACCGATCTCATTCCAGTTGTCACAGGTCTTGACACAGCCAGGGCCACAGGTGTCATACACAGCACCGTGCTTGCACTGAGTGGCTGAAGGAGAGGAAAGAAAGGGGTGATGTGGAGAACAGCCATGTTAACTCGCCCTCAGCCTGAGCCCATACCTGAAGACTCCTAGCTGTCAGTGCCCAAACCTTCTCACAGTGAAGGTTCATGTGTACATTTTAACAGGGGAATAATGAACAGCAAATGTCCCTCAGACACTCTGGGAATTGCCTACATCTATAAAAATAAAACTACAGAAGAAAAATAAATAAATAAACCTACAGATCTATAGCTCAGGCCAGTGAACTCCAAAAGCTTTCCATTCCTGGGTAAGATAAACTATTGATAGTTATATGCAGAGTTACATGCAATGGGTTAAGGTTATTAAATTATTTAAATATCATGGAAGTTAACCCCAAATAGTCCCTCTAGCAATGGAACAGTGATACCTTAAAATATTTAATTCATTCATCTACATCAATATTCAAATGTATGATGCTGCACACATGGAGACAAAACCAAACAAGGCTACTGGAACTGTGTGACATATTTTAATCTCAGCAATCATGTGCTGGGTGAATCCTTTTGAGTCAAGTGAGAACCAAATCAGAAAAATCAGACTGGAGCCAGGGCAGCAGCTGGCTGGGCCGGAGGATATAAAAAATGATCTGGGTGACAGACAAGTCATAGCCATTTTTTTTATCTTTGCTAACTTAGAGCTGAGATGGTTTTTGACAGCATTCTCAGAGATCCTGACATTTCATAGATAGATTTGTCAGAAAACAATAACAAGCATTCTCGAAGTTTCATGACATGTAGACTTTTCCATCTGAGTTTGTTCCAATGAAAAATCAGGAAACCTACCTCTGTTCTCACCAATTCCTACTTGAAACCTGTAGGAATTTGGAGCGGGAACTCTTAAGAATGCCAGTGACACTGACACCATCATTTGAAGTTGCCCCAAATCAAACCAATGACAATGACAGATCCCTTGTCATGAGCTTAAACTTTTTATTGCTGGTTATGTACTTTGCAAACCAATACGTGGCATAGAAATCACATAATATATAATATAATATGTAATATATATAATATAGTATATAATATTATTCTTATAGATAAAATTGGTTTCCAAGAAAATGGGTCTCCATTTCTGTCTTTCAAATGATTCATTTAGTGTTATCACAAAGCATTGGTATTTGACTATATTTACCTAATAGCAAGTTCATAAAAACTGTACAATAAATTCCAGGAAGACCCCACTAATGGCAATCATACTAGTTAAAACCAAATGAGAAACGAGGTCTCTGTTCAAAGATCACTCAATTACCCCTCACGAATTCATTCTTTCTTATTAGAAAATGAAGCTACATGAACATAGAATTTTGGAAAGCATTTGAATAAAGCAACCTTAAAATATGACCCTATAATTACCATTGTTCTCTATGGAACTATAATAAATACTCATATAGTTATCCCTGCTCTAATTATGAACTAAACACCTGTTCTGAACACAGCAGACACTTTGAAAGTAGTGATAAACGATACAGTCATTTGTCAAACCCATCAACAGCAGAATAAGTTACTAATAGACTATCACCAATGAATTCTCTTGAAATATCAAATATAACCCACAGCATTCTATGGTCCACTCTCTGAGCTGTCTGAGATGCTTGCTGAGGAACTGAGGGGTTTGAGGTCTATCCTTATATCTTGAGTATTTGAAGAATCATTTTCTGCTTGCCTTAAGAGTGTCAGGACATAGGCCAGCAATCGATACTTGCCCAGTAAGTGATGGAATCATTGGGCAAACAATCACAGCAGAGAACTGGCCAGTTCTCCTTTGGCTCTGGAATCTACCACACCTATATTTTGTTCTGGTTATTTTTGAGAGAAGGTCTTGCTTTGCCCAAAGTTCTGACACAGAACTCAATGCAGGGCCAAGTACAGTGCTGTAGCTCAGGAAATGCCTGTCGGATGACGATGTCATTGCAATGGTGTCTCATCTGGCACTCCATTTCCCAGTGTGGGGGTCCATGTGACCGATCTAAAGTAAGTTCATTTTCCACTCTGTTGCCTACTGACTGCCCAGCTCCTCTGGGCTCCAAGATGCTTGCTGGGAACCCTTCTAATCAGAATTCTGCAGAACCCTTCTAGTAGGAAGAACTCACCTCTGTTTCCTCTTGTTCCTCCCTGACTCTCACAATAATAATGTCTCCTGTGCCTTCTCCCCTGTCATCCTCAAATCTTTCTTCTAGCTCAACTATTTATATTTCACTTGTTCCTCAATCTATTTTTTTTTCCTGGTACTGGTCCTGAGGCTTGAATTCAGGGCCTGGGAGTTGACCCTGAGCTTCTTTTTGCTCAAGGCTAGCACTCTACCTCTTGAGCCATAGCTCCACTTCTGGCCTCTTGGTTTTGTTTTGTTTGTTTGTTTGTTTTTGTAGTTTACTGGAGATAAGAGTTTGCTAAACTTTCTTGCTGGATTCAAGCTGAGATCCTCAGATCTCAGACTCCAAGTAGCTGGGATTGTAAGCATAAGTCACCAGAACCCAACTGCCTCAAGCTTTTTAATAGCAAGTTTTGATGCATTCCCGCATCATTAACTGGTATAAAACAGACTAGTGTTCATGAGAAACTATTAGAGAAAAAAGAAAAGACCTTCTTCCGGTGTTTCTCTTCATCATGTGAATATCAACTCCATTTCAACCCAAACTGAACCAGGAAATATCTTTTATGGAGTATCTGCTATATGCTGGACATGTTCTGCAGCCCTCGATGTTCAATGCGAAGACCTCCAGGTGAAGGAGGCCGAGTTTATAAATAAGTAAGTGAAGCTGGCATACAGATTCCGAACTAAGAAAGTGTAAGATGCCCCATCACAGTGCGAGCAAAACACAGTGGACAAGAAGAGACAGAGTGTTGACCTGTCATGGAAATGTTGGCGACAGATTGAAGAAGTCTCTGGAGAGCAAACCCCACTGACGTCACAGAGCTAGCTCTAGAGGTCGTAGGATGTGAGGCCTTGCTGCTTGGCTTGTTAGGCTCTTGGATTCCTCCTCTAGCACCACAAAAAAAAAGAAAATAAGCAGAAATCTGTGAGGCAGACCATGGCAGCAAGGGCCTCTGGAGAACCAGGAGGGGATGCGGGCAAGGCAGGACTGCTGTTGGAATCAGGGAAAGTGTACTGCAGTTGGACAGGTGATAGGTTGTAGAGCACATGGGCAGCAAAGATGGTGCTGAGAGGGAGTTGAGCGGGCAGTGCGTAACCAGCCTATGGAAGCTTAGGTGCATGATAGAGTGTGACCTTGACAGTGATTGGTTCCTCTTCCTCCCCTCCCACCTGCTCTTTTTTGCTTTAAAAAGGGCTTGCTCTGTTAATAAAGGAGTTTTCCTGCTTGAGTTGACTCCCCGCTGTGTCTGATTGTCTCCCGGGCTAAGGGAGGCTAGGGAATGGGTGAGCGGTGCACTTACCTTTCCTCAGACCCCTTCGGTCTTTCATGAGACCTCTCCCAACCTTCCATGGAGGGGCCGAGGGCTGGGGAACTAACCTACTCGGAGGCCTACCCTGGAAAGGAAGTGCCACCCGAGAGCTCGGACTCTAGGCCACAGGATTCGCTTCCCCAAGTGTACCTGGTCATTCTGGCACCAGGAGCTAACAGGCCCTTGGAATGGTATCCATGGGAAGCTAAGGATCTTAAAGAGCTCCGCAAGGCAGTGGCGGAGGATGGCCCAAACTCTCCTTGGGCCCAGACCCTATTACAGGACATTGCTTATCACCCGTGTGTTTCTAAGGACTGGCTGGATGTGGCCAAAGCCGTCCTCACGAGTTCTCAGTTTATTAAATGGTGTGCTTTCTTTAAGGAGGAATGCAGAGTGCGAGCAGAGAATAACCGGCAGGCTCAACCCGTGATACCTATTACTTATGCCATGTTAGCAGGGACAGGGGAAGGGCACTCCACTGGCGTCCAACAGGCCGCAATACCTGGCCCGTACCGTGACCAGGTGAGGCAGGCAGGACTTGCCGCGTGGAACAAACTGGATGATGGGCCTACTGAGTCCCCCATAGCAGGAGTGAGACAAAAACCGGGTGAGCCTCTACCTGATTTTATAGACCAAGTCCAACAGAGCATTCACCGCAAGCTGCTGGCAGGGAACCTCCGAGATCAGTTTGTAAAGCTGCTGGTCTGGGAAGGGATGAATGCAGACCACTGCATGGCCTGCGCAGGATTGAGAGAGAGTTCCCTGGACAGATGATGGCCTCGCAGGATGTGGGAAAGCAACAGCACCAGTCCCAATCACTAGCTTTAGCTTTACATCTGCAATGACTGAAGCTATTACCCAGGTGCTGGCAGCCCAGGGCCAAGGAACTCCAAGACCATCAGGGAGAGGGTCTTGTTTTAAATGCGGGCAGGAGGGGCACTGCCAACGGGGGGGGGGGGTAACACTCCCCCTACACCCTTCCTCAGGGGCAGGAAGGGATACCATTGGAAAAAGGATTGCGGATCCAAGTTTGATTTAGATGGGAAGCCTTTAAACTAGGGGAGGGGCATCCTCCAGCCCCGTTAACTCAGGAGGAACCCCTCTGCTGTGAGGCCCAGGCAGCCTCGTGGCAGGGCGACCCAGGCCCATTGGACCGTCCACCTGGTGGAAGGACTCCGCCCTAAAATGAGTATTCTCATAGGCGGAAAGAGGTTTCACTGCTTAATTGACACGGGGGGGGGGGGGGGTGCAGTTCGAACCATATTCAGGGAGGAGGAAGTGCCCTTGGACTGGAAGCTTGCACCCGGGCCCCCGATATTGGGGGTAGGGGGCAACTCCCAGTCCAAAGAGATGGTTGCCCTTATGAAATGGACTAGCCCAATGGAGAACAGGGAAAGATATGCCCTTTAGTGGCAAAGAACCTCACTGCCAATTTACTAGGGCAAGACATGCTAAAACAAATGGATGCCATAGTCACTACAGACCATCGAGCATCCTATGATGATATCCTGGATGGGGAAGAAGCACAAAGGCTTAAACAGGATCGAGAGGGAGTTAAGGAAAAGGATTATTTTTTAACTTTCATAATTACAGAGAAGAACATTGGGGACCTGCTCAGGTGCACCCCAAATCCTAAAGGCCACTCCCCCCCCCCAAGTACCTCCCATTAGGTAGAAACTGGGAAGCCCAATCTGGGTAGAGCAGTGGCCATTGACCAAACCTAAACTTGTAGTCCTCCACCTTTTGGTGGAGGAACAAATAAACCTTGGGCACATAGGCCCTTCCAAGAGTCCTTGGAACACACCCGTATTTGTTATTCAGAAATCCTCCAGGGCTTGCCCTATGCTCCAAGATCTATATAAGGTAAATGAAAGGATGGAGCTAGTAGGAACGCCCCTAAGAGGCATGCCCTGGATTCCTGATGTACCTTCAGTATATACTTTGGTTGTGATTGATATTAAAGATTGTTTTTTTTCTATCCCCCTGCATCCAGATTACTGGGAGCAATTTGCTTTCTCCATACCTTCTCTTAATTTTTCCCAGCCTGATCAGAGGTTTGAATGGACTCAGAAAAGCTAAAAGTGGCACTGTGGCTTAAGTGGAAGAGTGCTTGCCTTGAGCACAAAGAGGTTCAGGGGCAGCACCCAGGCCCTGAGTTCAAGCTCTGCCACACACACACAAAAGAATGTAAGCTGGTGTCATATGCCTGTAATTGTAGCTACTCAAATGGTTGAGATCTGATGATGTCAGTTCAAAGCCAGCCTAGGAAGGATCTCCAATTAAGCATACACACAAAAAAAGAGCCAAAAGTAGAGCTGTGGCTCCAGTGGTAGAGTGTTAGCTTTGCATAAAACACTGAGAAACAGTAACGAAGTCCCAAGTTCAAGCCACAGGACAAATACCAAAAAAAAAAAAAAAAAAAAGGTGATTTGGTTTGTGCACAAAGATTACATTTAGTTAAATCACTTTTCTTTTGTGCCAGTTCTGGGACTTGAACTCAGGTCCTGGGAGCTGTCACTGAGCTCCTTTTGCTCAAGGCTAATGCTCTACCATTTGAGCCACAGCGCCATTTCCAGCTTTTCTTTCTGGGCAGTTTATTGAAGAGTGTCTCGGACTTTTCTGCCTGGGCTGGCTTCATACCACAATCCTCAGATCTCAGCCTCCTGAGCAGCTAGGATTATAGGTGTGAACCACCAGTGTCTGGCTTTAAATCATTTTTTAAATCAGAACATGTTGGAGTTTTGAACCAAAGTGAGGATGAGCAGGTCTGGAATGTCTGAACACATTCATGCAGTTCATGAATGTGGTGACACATGGAGACACAATGTATGAACTGCATTCTAGGGATGGAACTGAGCTGTTTCTGTTACTTCCCATCCTCCGCAGACCTACAAGGTGCTGACCCAAAGGTCACAGTGCCCTACTTTATCCCCAGACTTTGACAGAAGTATCCAGTCAGCCAAGAAAGAGCCAAGAGTATAGAGCTAGAAGGTAGGGAAGAATGGCTGCAAGGAAAGATCTAGAACCATCTGAAAGGTGTGGTGCTGAACAGGGAGGGAGGAAAACTGCTTACATGACCTGTAGATCACCCAGGACACACAAAAACCTGCTCTCCTAGCCCCTCTGCTGTCTATAAAATGGACTGCAGGATGTGCAGTGACAATTAGTGCCAGAGGCAGGCACATAGCAGGAAGTCTGCTTGCTAAGGAACGCAAGATCCTAACAAACTTACCCACTTCAAATCAGAAGGTACCAGGTCACATTGAACATGTGAACATGAACTGGAAAGTCACGAAGGTTAATAAAGATCTAGCCACCAAACACCTGGATGACTAGGTTGAGGCTCACATAAATACAGAAATCAATGTATTCGTATTGTTTCCCCCACGATGATCTTGATTTTCTATGTTTTCATCATGACTAAAGCTACAAATTATGATCTGGTTTTCACCCTCAGCTCCTTTGCTTTCTAGATCTTTGCCTTTTAGCAAATTACCTAACTATTCTAAGTCTCAGTGTCTAGCAGTAAAATATGAGAGACACAATGTTATCATATAGGTGATTAGGGTCACAGGGTAAGATATCAAACAATAGAAAATGCTAATAGTGTCCCCGAGGAAGGAGATACTTAGGAAATAATAAATAGAAAGAAAATGGTTATTGTTAACCTTTCCTATACTTTCACAGGCGCCCTCATCATATTGCGTTGGGTTTAGTAATTCCCAGGCTACATTAGAGTTCCATTAGACCTTTTGACACAGTTAGTGGCGAGTGATATGTCAGTCATAATGATGGTGTTAATTCCAGGCTTGCCTTTAGAATGTCACCTGCTCAGAATTTCATGCCTGGCTTCTTTGTTCAATTTCCAAGATATTTTACTCTGGAAAAATGTCTCTTCTTGATCTTAAAGTAGCCTTAAGCGCTGTCATGAGTCAGAGAACCTGGGAGCTAAAAACAAGTAAATAGTATTCTTATGGTCTTCAATAGTCTAGAAGAACCTGAATAAAATAATGGTTCTTTAAAAACATGTTTCCATGTACTAACTGCCAACCTGGAGAAGTCCATAGTATGTATGTGTATGTTCATGTATGTATGTGTGTATGTAGATATGTATGTGCACATGCACTGACGTTTAAGTGCATGTGTATGTATTTGTGTGTGCCTGTGTGTATGTATCTATGTGTGCACATGTGTGGGTGCAGTGTCCCCTAACTGTACACTGATGTAGTCATCCTCCACATAGATGGCTTTGCTAATGTTGAGAGGTAAATGGGAGTTTCCAGAGGCCATTTTGCTCTTCCATTAGAAAAGCAATTTAGATCCAGAGACTCAGTCCCTGAAATAAGGATGTTGTGAAATGTACAGTCCTCCATCAGTGTACCTACAGAAAGGATGCTGAGTGAAGGCCTGGGCCAGGAGGAGACGTTCACATTCTGTTACAAGGCCACCTTAGCTAATAGGAAAATGGAAATCAGTTGGTCCTCCGCTGCACCGGGATGGATGGAAGGATCCTGTCTCCATCTACTGCCTCATTTCCTGCTAGACTCGAAGGGGGACTCAGAATGAAGTGTGGGAGCTGGGGGTTTTCAAGATGGGCTACGAGGCCCCTGCCCTCCTCTCCCCCAAACACGGCCTCACAGGTTTGGCCCAGCATCCCTGGCTTCCCTTCCAGCCACCCACTTGCCTCCCCTACCAGCAGCCTGGGCACACTTCACCTGAGCCACTTTATAGCAGGTCAGTATTGATCTGTCAAGAGCCACAGGGTGGTGCCCATGCAGGGGACAGCAGACCCTGGCCCAGATCACACTTGGGCTGTCAGAAATGATAGCAAAGTCCACAGAGCTATCAGCTTGGATGGGTTTCTGAAGACACAGCCTGGTTATTGCACTAAAGGGAAACGAAGGTGCCTTCCAAGCTCCCCCTTCCATTCCCCCCTCCTAGATCCATCATCCTACTCCATTTCTTGCGGAATAAAAGCCTATAATCCCAGCTACTCAGGAGGCTGAGATCTGAAGAATGCAACTCCAAGCTAGCCTTGGCAGGAGTCCAGAAGGCTCTTATCTCCATTTAATCACCCAAAAGCCAGAAGTAGAACAGTGACTCAAGTAGTAGAACACCAGCCTTGAATGGAAAAAACAAAAACAAAAACAAAAAACTAAGGGACAATTCCCAGGCACTGTGTTCAAGCCCCAGGACACACAAAATCCTGCACATGGTCACTCTGGCTCCCATCTGACCTTCTGCTGTGCCCCTTTTCTTAGCCCATCACACCATACAAAAGTGCACTCTTATTTCCTACTACTTTGTGGCTGTGTAGACTGCTTCTGCCAATCCTCTTCAGTTCCTTCAGCAATGCTGAAATCCCCCCTCCTTCATCCTCTAAGTAACAAGTCCCCCTCTCCATTTGTTTTCTATATCTCAGCCCTATTCGTTTCTTTCCCATACTTACCATAATTGGCAAGTGTTTATTGTACTTGTTCTTCTTTGTTTGGTGGGGGTCGGGTCTGCCACAGATGGCCGCCGCCTCAGCCCTGACAGGCATTAAAGCACTGTGCCTATGTCAATGTCACTTTGTAGTAAATACCGAGTGGATGAGCTAAGGCACAGATTTTACAGATAACACATCAGTTCTTTAGTGTGCCCGAGGACCAAGAACGAATCAGGACTATGACAGAACTCTGGCTTATCAGAGGGGAGGTTTCCTAGAGTTGGTGTAATGATCTCTAAAAAGCCATTGCGTTCATCCCACAGACCTTAAATGACTGTAATGTTCTTCAGTCTCCTGTGCTCCATGCATCACCTAAGCCACGCTGCGGGCTGGCTGTGCTAAGTGCATCCAGCTGGGAGTTGGAGGCCCAGGAGGATTTTGCAACAGTGGAAATCCTGAAATCGTTAAAATGTGCCTGTCACAAGCATTTCTCTTAAGTGCTGTCTGCTCTGTCCTGCCCTGCCCTGTGGGAAGTCCCTGTGTTTTATTAAGATGTGTTCAGTTGGGCCAAGGGTTGGAATTTGCATTTATCCATAGCATGATGTGGCCATTCTGGGAATCTGCCACGTGTCCATTGGGGCTGGCCGTGAGCTTTTCACAATCGTCCACCCAGGCACCTTTACCTGCACAGGTCTTCTGAGGCTCCCAGTGGACCCGGATGCCCTCTCTCTGGCAGGCCCGAGCATACGCCAGGAACGACTCACAGTAACAGTTCTTATGGACAGGACATTCACACATGTCTGTCAAGCAGGACCTAAGGGACACGACAGAGAAAAGGGATCATGTGAAAATATCACATCAGCAAATATCTGCAATTTGACTCTAACAAAGTGTTGGGTGGATAGATGTGAAGCCCTGATTGACCATCAAGGGTTGCTATCTTAGACTGAACAAGGAAAAATACTGTAAAAACTCTGTACATCTCTCAGTACTGGATTGTTCTGAGCAAGGCAACAATATTAGGTTTTCTTTCTTCTGAGACAAGATTGTTGGGCAGGACTCGTGGCCATGACAATGCCCTACAATCGCCACTGTTGCAGGCAGTAGCTGCTGTCTTGTAGGTGGTTATTGAATACTTGGCACATAGGTACTGCAGCTGAGGAGCTGAGTTCATTTCATGTTACTTAATTTGGAAGCAAATAATTACCCTTCAACATGCTACCATGCTGCAAATAGCGTGGACCAAAAAAATGGCCAGATCTTATTGTGATAGAACACAAAACGGCAACCAACTTGGTGAGAACATAAACCCTCGTGGCTTTCTGAAAACGTGCCATTCACATGTCCTAGGCCTCATTCTTTAGAACGTAAGATGACAAATTCCCAATAAAGCAAGCATTTAAAGCCTCTAAGTTGATGGAGAGATGAACAAGATTGAATCGAAATCTCCATCTTTAAAATATGAAGACGCTGAGGCACAGCATAAATGGAACTGACGTGTGTTTAAATGCAAACCAGCACATTTCTAACACGTCCACAATAAAGACTCAATAATGACCTTACCCTGTAGATCATATCACACTTTAAAAAGTGCTCACCCGTGCAGTCTGCCGATGAATGGCAAACGAAGTGTACTACCGTTCCTGTCTTATTAATGAAGGGATCATTTCACAAATGAATAGATGGGCCCTGAGTTATACTTCTAAGTGGCAAACGGACAAATCAAATCATCCTTCCTCACTTGGAGAGTAGTCATCTTTTTATTACACCATACTATAATCCTCGCCCTCCTCGAAGCAAATTTATTACCTTTACTGTCTAACAAGTTTAGAGTTGACATTTATGCATGAGGCCTTGAAGGTTAATAAAACTGCCAAGTGTGGTGGCTCATGCTTTTAATCCCAGCTACTCCAGAGGCTGAGATTAGGAGGACCATGATTTGTGTGTCTGTTGTCCCATCTACACAGGAAGTATAAATAGGAGGATCACAGTTCAGACTGCTGGGCATAAAATGTAAGACCCTATATCAAAATACCAAGAGCAGTAAGTGCTGAGATCATGGATCAAGTGCTAGAGGTCTTAGGAAGATTTAAAACCCCTGTTATAGGGGCTGGGAAGGTGGCTCAGTGGTAGAGTGCTTGCCTTGCATGCATGAGGCCCTGGGTTCGATTCCTCAGCACCACATAAGCAAAAAGAAAAAAGCCGGAAGTGGCGCTGTGGCTCAAGTGGTAGAGTGCTAGCCTTGAGCTGAAGAGCTGAGGGACAGCGCCCAGGCCCAGAGTTCAGGCCCCATGACCGGACCAAAACAAAACAAAACAAAACAACAACAACAAAAACCCTATTATAAAGAGGGTGGATAGAAGAGGCAGGGAGAGAGAAAGAGGAGTAAGAAAGAAAGAGAGGAGGGAGGAGGAAAGGGAGAGAGAGAAGGAAGGAAGGGAGGGAGGGAGGAACGAAGGAATTGCCTCCTTCCCAGAATCCACTGCAAGACTGAACAAAGAATATACAGGAATGAAGAGTCTAAGCAGCACAGATGATGCTGACACAAGACTATGAGCATGCCACAGACACCCACTGTCAGTGTATTAATGTTGTCCATTGATGTGGGATGCATTTGCCCATGGCCTCAGAGAGCGCTTACCTAGCCCAGGAGCTTGGCTGGAGCCCCACCTGCTCTGAACAATAAAACAAAGGAGGACTGATGGTCCTGCATGGCACCTAAGAAGAGGTCCCACCACAGCACACAGAGACCCAGATTGGAAATAAGAACAAAGACAAAGGGAACAAGTGCATTTCAGCCTCAAGAGCCTGCTGCATGTCAGTGATGGTGCCATCTCTACATTGGTGGAGCCTCTGGGCTTCCAAAGGGAAGCCAAATCAATCCCATCCTTAAAACACACACACACACACACACACACACCCCTACCACCTTGTCCTTCTTTGTTGCTTTAGTTTTCAATTCAGGAGAGGCCACATCCATCATCTGCAGGCTCAGAGTGGAATACTACGTTTCTGACCTGTCTAGGTTCTGACCTCTGACCCCAGGCCGACTTCACTTCCTCAGTAGTCTCTGAACCCCACCCTCTTCCAGGTCCACAGGGTTTGGGGACTCTTTCCCATGTACACAACAGCCATTAAATGGCATGGCTGCACCGGCATCCACACGCCTGATCACATGGCGTGGTTATGTAGAAAAGGGCTGGCCTGAGTATGAGGAAATGTCACCCAGCTGGGAAGGCCATCTGTGATTCTGTATGATTTCATGAACAGTAAACAAGTAAAATTTAATTTGAATGAAAGGTTTGTGAGAGAATTCCCCCCCCCCCGCCCTTTTTAACTTGAGTTCCACTGTCTGCTTCAAGAAGCAATTTCTTCAATTTAAAAAGAATTATAAATACTTACACCCAGTCTCTGAGGCTGTGGAGAGAGACTGCTTTAGGTACACACTGAATAATCACTGCATACCTGTTCTCTACCTCACCAACAGGCCCAGTTAACAATTAGCCCCCATAGTAAAAGCCAAGAAGATCTAAGCTTTTTATATGACCTGGCATTCACAAAAAACAAAAACAAAAAACAAGAGTTGAGAAAGCGGCATGTCAAACCCAGTCGTTTACGTAATTTTAAAGGCATCAAGTTGATAACTTTTATACAAAATTGTGGCCAGTGCTTATGAGAATATGGAAAAGGCGATATGCACCCTTAGCTGCAGTAAGGCTAAATCAGCTGCTCTTAAGCAGTGCATGGTGCTGGGTCAAGAATTTTACATGCAATGTGTCCAGGAGTCTACACAGGCACCCATGGTTACCACGCCCTCAACAGACAGGGAAATGGAAACACAGAGATTTCAAGAAATGTGCCTACAGTCCCACAGCTGAGCTCTGCCCCATAAAACCAGAACCACAGTCAAAATCCATATTTGGCTTGGTGATGGTGGCTCACACCCATTCACCTAGATATTTGCAAGGCTGAGATCAAGAGGATCAAAAGATCATTGTAAGGCCAACCTGGACAAAAAGTTCATGAGATTCCTTCTCAACTAATGCAAGAGCACAGTAGTGTGAGTCTATCATTCCAGCTCTTCAAGAGGCTGAGATCAGGAGAGTTGTAATTCCAGGCCCACCAGGGCATGAAAGCCTTCCCATCTCGATGGAAACAGCTAAGCATGGTGATGTATGACTGTCGTAATTGCTATGAATGATAGAGAACCTAAAACATGGAGGATCATGGTCCAAGCACATGCCTGGAAATGAGGCCCTACCTAAAAAGTAGCCAGCCCAACTTAGATACTGGTGTTTCAGGCCTCTAATCCTAGTTACTGAGGAAGTTGAGACATGGAAAATGGTGATTCAGAGCCAACTTGGGAAGAAAAAGTCCACAAAACTCCATCTCCAAAATAACCAGCAAAAAGCAGGTCTGGAGGCATGGCTCACAGAAAGCAACTAAGTCAAGGAAGCACAAGGCCCTGAGTTCAAGCCTGGAACTGGCAATAATAATAATAATGATAATAATAATAAGAGTAATAATGATAATGACCAGCACACAAAAGGCTGGAGCCATGGCTTCATGTTGGAGTTACTGTCTTGCAAGTTCAAACTCTAGTACCACCACTACCACCATCACAACAACAACAAATCACAGTGACTATGTTTAAAAACGTATATTTTTTAGAACATCCTGGGAATCATCATAGATAGTCCAAGGAAAGGTTCTTTTTCTTTGAGAGGAAATTTTGTATTGAAGAAAACAGTAATCCATGTGGGCAAAGACTTCAAATACAGGGATTTTTATCCCAATGAAATTTAAATTGAAAAAAGAAAAGAAGGAAAGGAAATAATCTAACTTGCCCAGTTAAACAAATTTAGGTGACATGGCTATGAAACATGCTCCAGACATCATAATGCTGTTTTGGAAATGAATTCTCAAATTCAGGAAAATGTTCAGAAGGGATTAATTTGGTGGGGGAGGGGGAGGGGTGAATCAAAAATTCAACATTGTGTAATCACGGTCAGAAAACAAAACATAACTGAAAACAGATATGCTCAGATATGTGGCTCTAGTTTTGAGTCCCTGCAATGAACACAGCTACGTCTTAAAAAGATAAATATCACAATTTTCAAAACAACGTAGAATAATAGCCTGGTAGGTTTTATTATTTAAATACAGTAGCCAAATTTAAAATGGGGGGAAAGATACATCCATTTGTAGGTCATAGTTTTTTTTTGTTTTTTTTTTTGTTTTTGTCGGTCGTGGGGCTTGAACTCTGGGCTTGAGTGGTGTCCCTGTGCTCTTCAGCTCAAGACGAGTGCTCTACCGCTTGAGCCACAGCGCCACTTCCAGTTTTCTAGTGGCTTATTGGAGATAAGAGTCTCACAGACTTTCCTGCCCAGGCTGGCTTTGAACTGCAATTCTCAGATCTCAGCCTCCTGAGTAGCAAGGATTACAGAGTTTTTAAATAGTTCTCTTGCTCAGAATTTCCCTGGTCTCTTATTGAAGGTCTCCTGACATAGGCTTGGAGTCAATTCACTTGGTATGGCCCCTCCCACTTGCACATGCTGGTCTCCGTGCTGCGAACTTGACAGCCAGATGGACAGAATGAACAGTGGAATAATCATGATTTTTCTGGTTACAAAGGAATTTATTAAGGGGCAAAATAAAAACCATCTTTTAAAATATACTCCAAGCTTCAAGAATGGAAAATAAAAGCCCTACTCTTACTCAATTGTTCAGTTTGTTAATCACACTTAAGAATTCAATGTGAGGAACCTCTAATAGATGACACATTGGAGGTGCATTTTTATGTTTCTGGAAGAC